TGTTGGTACAGTTCAAATACAATATACTGGTGACAGAGACGGTCCAGATGAATTGAGAGCAAAGAAGTTTACAAAACCAATAGCACTTTTCACGGAAGATGCTCTTTTGAAGATTCGTTCGATGAAACCTGCTGGGGCTCCTCAGATTGGCATAACGACAGCTTCCATCGAGCAGATTTTGGCAGCAGGTCAGTAAGTTGTTCTTGAACTGACTTCTCTCCGTCAAATATTGACAGTACGCCAGTTTTGACATAATATTGTATTATAAACTTACCTTTAGAAATATCTGTAAGTTTTGAAGTTATATTTTTGTCTGCTTCAAGAACTTTCACCATTTCAGTTATACCAACTTTCTTTGCTTTATGAAAATATTTTGGTTCAGCAAAGACTGCTATTCTATAACATTTTCCATTGTTTGTGTAAAGAACTATTCTGTCAATGTATTTGTATTGTTTGTGTGTGTAAACTTTGTTCTGCTTCAATTCGAAAGATATCCGAATACGTCCATCTTTTTATTCTAAGTAAAATGTCATTTCCGAAAAATAGAAGCGTAAGTGTTTCAAAAGGTTTAATGGCGGTGGCAGATGTGAAGTTAAATTCACCAACTCAAACAAACAGTCAAAGTGTTATTGTCAATGTCAAAGACAGAGATGTTGAAGTGGGGAAACCATACGAAGACGAAGATGGTATAACAATTGTTCCTGTAAAAGAACCAACATATCCTGAAGTTAGCAGAGACTTAAGTTCTGTTGCAGATATTCGAAACGACTACCAACAACTGAAAGACAAACTTCAAACTCAGGAGAAGATTTGTCAAGCTTTAAGTATAATGTTAAACTTGGTCGAACACAACCCTGTAAAAGTGAACTCATATGTCATTGCACCTCATGAAGTTTTGAAAGAACTATTGAAACTTTTGACAGAGGCAGACGATATAAACATCAAAGAAATAGAACCCGACATTAGTTGCTGTGGTGTTTCATATAATGTCATTGACAAGATATACGTTATGAAAGGAGGTGAAACGTTGAACTTAAAATATAGTTTCCCAGACGTTATAAAAATATTTGACGACCACAACATTTCATTAAAATTTATTTGCTAAGTAAATGGCAGAAGACATAATGGTTTATACTATTACGACTAAAAACCCTGAGTCATATAATTCTATAACAACAAACTTACAAAGTCCTCAAGGACGATATTGTAAACTAACCTTAAACACAATGACGACTAAAGCCTGTTTTGCTCTTTTGACACCAGAAGACTTTATTGTTGTGAATGGTAAAAAATACTCCTTTGAAGATACTTACTCAGATATACCACCAACAGGTTTTGTTGACTTATTTAATACTTTAAGTACGGGTGTAACATGTGCTGCAACTAGAGCAGGTTTCATTATGTTTGGATGTCCGACTGAGTTTACTATAAACGATATGAGCTATAATACAAAACTTATTTCTGGTTTTTACTACCAACAGTTTCCTATAACAGGAAAAGGTGTCATACAAGGAATGTCTATTCCATTGACATTAAGCACACCAATCTTATATATTGTTTCAAACTTAGGTTCAAAGTGTTATTCGAATGTCGACAGAAACTATTATGACCAAAAGATACTTATGCGTATAAACAATACTTTCTCTGCTGGTTTGCCTATTGTTCATTCGAATGCAGAATTTTCAACCTTAGTGAACTCAAACACTTTGGCAAGTATAACGTTGACATTAGTTGACGCAAACTTTGTTCCTGTAAAACTTTTATGTCCTATGTATTTGTCAATGACGGCAGAAAGTTTCGAATTGGAAGATGCAACTGGTGAAAGTATTGTATTACAAGAACAACTTCAACAACAAATAGCTCAAGAACAACAAATGCAACAACAACAAAGTCAAGAATAAAAAAAATATATTTTTTATTTTTATAAAAATGTACAGAATAGATGTTTCAGATTTTTATGACTTCCAAGCATTCAGAAATATGTGTCCATTTAGAGACTATAACAAAGCAGTCGAGAATTTGAAACGTTTAGTCATTTATGTCGACTCTGCCCCAGAATGTTATGTCATGAAAGAATGGGATGTTGTCTTTAACAAACCAAGAGCAACAATAGTTTCAGAACAAGAATGTAGACAGAAACTTAAGAAAATAAAAGTCGTACAAGTTGGCATGAAGATGTTAGATGCTTGGGATATCTTATTGTCAAAGTTAGAAGATTTTTCAGTTCGAGGTATAAAGTTTATACACCTTCTCCAAACTTCTATTCTATCTTCACTGGATATAAATATGAACAAGTAGAATGGAAAGAAAATATTATAGAAGCTTGGTTAGACCATGTCAAAGAAATTATATGCAATGGAAACGAAAAGGTTTATGAGTATATCTTATGTTGGTTTGCAAACATCTTACAACATCCAAGTGCTAAAAATGAAACTGCTCTCATTATAATTGGAAAACAAGGAACAGGTAAGAACACATTCTTTACAGATATTTTGCAAACTGTTAGAAGGTTATTCGAACCCAATATGACAAACTTAGAAAACATCTGTGGAAATTTAACTCCTCAATAGAGAATATGAAACTTATAGTTTGCAATGAACTTCAAAGTATAGATACAACAAAAGTTTTGAACTCAGATGCTTTGAAGAGTCTTATAACAGACAAAGTTGGAGTTGTTGAAAGAAAGTATAAAGACCAAAGAGTTTGTGAAAATGTTGCAAACTTCATTATGGTTTCAAACAATGCTGTTCCGATGAAGTTAGAAAGTTCTGACAGAAGATATGTAGTTGTCAGAACGTCAGATTCTCATATGCAAGATACAGAATATTTTGACGACTTAGCAGAAACTTTGACATCTGACTTTTACAACCACTTGTTCTCATATTTCATGACATTAGATATTTCTAAGTTCAATCCAAGACAAATTCCACATACCGAAGAGAGACAAACATTGTTAGAAGCAAACAAGAGTGTATATGAACTGTTCATAGATGAAACTGACTTTGTGTCATTAGATGAAAGTCATTGTACGATGAATATAAACAATATTGTCAAGAATATGGTTATATGGCAGCTCTAAACGACATTCTTGGCAAATGTCAAAAGTCTTTTAGATGTTCAGAATGGTGTATATACAAAGAAAAATTTTTCTGAGTAAATTTTAAAAAAAATATTTTTTTATCCGATAGAAAAGATGACAAAATTCATCTCAGTAAACAAGTACATGTCAGGACTTAAAGAAGAACTAGACCCATTCACATATTTGAATGTTTACTTCTACCATTTTGAAAAGTCTTCATTCAGCAAAGTTTGGAACATCGAACCAGTTAAGTTTGCTATTGTGACTAAAAATGGTGCGAAATTTGAAGACTTAGACATAGAAGGTTTGTTAACAGTCAAAGAAAGTTTTGACAGAAGGTTCTCAAACCTTAAAGAAGGCAAAGCATACAAACTTGTTATACCTTATGAACCAAAGAAAGCAGACGACTATGAATATTATGAGTCTAAAGTTGTAGAAGTTCAAGGTAAATTGGGTAAAAAGATTTTAGAGTCTAAGCCAGTGTTTACTCCTAAAGAGGAAGAGAACATTGACATTGACCCAGAAATGTTCTAAAAATAAAATTTTATTTTTACATGTCAAATTTCTTTTTCTCTGGAACTGGTTCAGGTTCTTTCTTCTCTTCTTCTACTTTCTTTTCTTTCTTTTCTCTCTTCTTCTTTTCTGGTGGAGTTATGTCAAATTTGGCGCAACCATATTTATGTAAAAGTTCTTTGTCCTTTAATAGCTCATATTCTGTTTTCTATTTCATCTTCAAGAACAGCGCATGTGTCTTCTTTGCATTCTAAGAACTTTTGTTGGACTTCATCTTTCCAATCGGCGTCATCTCTGTCAACAAGTCTGTCATTGACAAATTTTAAGACTGCTCTGCTTAATGTTTTATGGTTCTTGTCATATTCCCAGAAACAGAACTTTAGAACAAATTCACCTTTCTTGTTTACACTATGTAAGATTTTATGGTCGACAGATGTTTTGCTGTCAAAAGTTTGTCTCGAATATAGATAGCGAAATCGCTAGACATTTTCTAAAAGATAAAAATTTTAATTTTTCTAAAAATATGTTAGAAAAAAAGTTTGCTGACATTGACAAAAAATTTGAGAATGTTTTAAACAAGAACAAGAGGAAGTTAGAAAATGCTCAGATAAAGCCTATACATGACAAGTTCTTATTTGCTCAGAATGGTATAACAGGTCTAATTGCACCACCTGGGTCGGGTAAGACTTTCACTTATCTTAAAATGGCTGCACAACAACAAGAACTAGATGAGAAGAACCCATTCTATGAGTTAGTTGTTATTTGTACTTCTGGTCAATTTGACCAAACCGTCAATTCGTTCAAAGATATTATAAAGAAGTCTAAGTTAGTATGTATAAAGGATACTGAGTTGTTAGATTGGATAAAGAAGTACCAAAGAAGAGTTTTGAAGTATAATGCTATAAATGAGTATATAAATTCGAAGTTTAAAGACCCAAATGAGGAAATGCAGAGAATATTAGAGAAGAAACACTTCAGAAACAAACAGAAAGAGATAGAATACATTTCGAAGAAATTGCAATCTTACGATTGGAAGACTTACCCTCATAGATGTCTTCTTATCTTAGATGATTTCGCCTCTCATCCTTTGTTAAAGAATAGAGAACAAGATATGTGTCGAATTCTTAAGAAGCTCAGACACTTTAACATTTCAGTTGTCATTTGTGTACAGACAGCAAAGAGTTTAAGTAAGGATGTTAAAAGAATACTTACTGACATAATACTTTTCCCCGGATTGTCCGAAGACGATTTCATGGAACTTATGAAAGAGTCCATGGCAGGTAAGTTTGACAGACATGAACTATGGGAGAAGTACAAAGTCATACAAGACCCTCATACTTCTTTCAGAATTCATATCTACGCAAACAAAGTTCAAATTGTAAAAAGTCAATAAAAATAAAGAGTTCATTTACTCTGCTTGTTTGAAGTTGTCAAAATACTCTGTTATTTTTTCTTTCAGTAGCGGTAAGTCTTCTTTGAAGGTAAGTATTGTACAACCTTTCATATCATAGTGTGTTTGAGGTAACGTATCTTGAACTATTTGTTTCACATCTTCATTTGGGGTCATTGAAATCGGTAAGTTTTCGCGATAGAACCAATTTCTGTCAGATTTGTAAATCTTAGCAAGGTCGTAAAAGCTTTTGTTGTTTCTTCTGACTAAATGCAACATAACCATATCTTTATCTTCTTCATTTTCCATCTCTTCAGTATAAATCATATACTTATAGTTCTTTTCCTTTCCTTTTGGTACCGAACGTGGTATTCTTTTCTGAATGCTTTTGTCTTTTGCTTCAAGCTTGTTTTCCATCTCTTCACGTTCTTGTCTATGAATTTCGTCAAGAAGTCTGTAAATATACCAAGCATAACGAGGCGAAGCCCACATTGCAACAGCATTTACAAGAAGTCTATGTACATAATATCCTCTCAAACCGTTTGGCAATTTTTCACGATTTTCATAGAGTTTTGGCGACTGGGGTTTTTTACCTACTCGCTGTTCTTCACTGTTTTCAGAAAAAAGTATGTCTCGCTGTGCTTCGCTCAAAAGTTCTTGTGTGCTTTGGTTCCTAAACCAGTCTTTAGGAAGCTTAGTATCTGGAGCAAAACATGCTGTCAAAATACTTTGCATTTGGTACATATCGTCTTTGACCGAACGAATGAGACGGAGTTGTTTGTTAAACTGAACCCACTCATATTCTTCATTTATAGCTTCATGGACTATAACTGTTGTTGTGTTCTCTGTTGTTGACATATCTGTCTTTACATACAAAATAAAAAAATAAATAAAAATAAAACTAACTTTATTTTTTCTATCTTAAGGAAATTCATGATTTTTGTTGCTGAATTCAATAAAAATAATGTTTAGGTGAAGAGGTGAGATCTCACCTGTTTTTTCACCTCATTTCTACCCCAGTTATTTTATAAACGTTTCACATGGTAAACGTTATTTTGTCTTTTGCCAGCAAGGGTACTTCTTCTCTTCCAATGGTTCGGCAGAACTATACTCACTCATGAGAAATGCCAAAACGGTTTAATAGAAAAAGTGTCATTTTTTCATGTCCGAAGACTCGAAGGTGCAACACTTCCAAATACCGACGAACTCAGAAGAGCAGCATGGCAGTATGTTCTTGACAACTTCTTTGAGTTCTCCAGGTACACCTTGGAAAATGCTGAAGAACTCCGACACAGAGAATTTGGAGAAATTGCGCTCCAATACTACCTGACAAACAAAGGGTAAAATAAGACTAAAAACTTAACGTTTAAAAAGTGACATTTTAATGAGCTCCGAGTCACCGAGAAAACTTGGTCAGATGTTAGCAGCTTACTTCCCTGAGGAGGATGGAAGCGTTACATACATAAGGTTCAAAAACAACGAACCTGGAATTGCGTACCAAATTCGCAATTACATGACCATGGAAGAGTACGAAAAGGTTCCTACAAGAGAAACCAGCTCTAAACAACTCAGAAGAAAGAATAAAAAGTTTAACTCGTAATTGTTTATTTTTTTTACTTGTATGGGCAAGCTGCAAGAATGAAGTCGACTATCTCAGTCTTTGTCTTGACCAGTTGGACTGCTCTTGTAAGCACGTCTGTTTTGCGGTCTCCAGCTGGTGTTTGACCTTCGTAATTGCGCATGTTCTTGAGAGCTCCAACTGTAAATGGTTGTAGGATGAAGAGTCTCTCAGCTGCTTGAGGTAGTCTTCACGGTCACGAACCGAATCTGTGGTACGAGTCGAATCGGTCGATTTGAGGGAAGAGAGTGAGAGCCTATCTTCTTCCATTGGGGCAGTAGCATACTCTTTGCGTAAGCGGTTCAGACCTTCCTCGAACTCTTGGTCTCTCTTGGATTGAGATTGGAATTGCTGGGGTGGAGCTTGCTGGAACATCCAAGGGTTGGGGAAGTAAGGCATAGGCTGAGGAGGAGGGTAGTTCGGGAAGCCTTGTGGTGGGTAGTAACCTTGAGGTGGAAATTGGTAGTAATTTGGTGGAGGTACTTGCTGGAACTGAGGTTGCTGAGGAGACTGTTGTGGTTCTTCAGCTTTCGGTTCTTCTGGCTTTGGAAGGCATTCAGGAAGAGGAACGTCAGTCATCCGTTTGTGTCCAGTCGGAAGGAAAAATTTTTCCTGTCGGAAGGAAAAACTTTTCCTGTCGGAAGGAAAAACTTTTTCTGTCGGAAGGAAAAGTTTTTCTGAAGTTCGACCAAAAAGTTCTCAATTTTCGAAAATTTGAATGGTTTACGGACGGACAACTGGAAGAGTTCTTCCTGTCGGATGGAAAAATTTTTCCCTTTGTCGGGAAAATATTTTCCTGTCGGAAGGAAAAAATTTTCCCTTTGTCGGGAAAATATTTTCCTGTCGGATGGAAGAACTTGGAATGCAAGAAAGACTTGACGAGGCAATTTACCTAATTGAAATTAACGACTGCGTAAAAGACTACTTGCGCAAGGTAATGAAGCCCAAGGTCAAGTTCACCAATATTTCTGGAAGGTCTACACTTCAGCTCGAGACTTCGACTGGAATTCCAATTCAAATACCAGACGGGACAGCCTACGATGGCATAAAGGACGCCAAAAGAGAAGCTCTTGTTAAGTTCCTAAACAAACGTCCTTGGATAAAAATACCAAACAAGGAGAACCCCCTACCCCATATGAAATTGGCAATTCAGTCTCTCCTTCACTTCTCGGGTCAGCCGTTCTACATAACCTGTGAAGGCGACATTCAACCAGTTCAGTAAACATCTCATTTTAACTTCACTTTTTTTATGTTTTTACTCATGTGAAGAAGAAGCCTTCTGGTAAGTTTCTTATAGCCATATACATGGCACGCTTTGAGTAAAAACATTTTTTTTCATTTTTTGAATGAAGCAAGTTAAATTCGTCCCACACCAATCTCAATGGACCGATGAAGAGTTTCAAGCTATGGTTGAAGGTGTTGAGAACGACATAGACGGCGAACTTGAAGGAGCTCAAACCACAATTGCAACCAAAATTGCAGAAGTCAAGGAACAAATAGCTCCACTTAAAGCTACCAAAGCTACTCTTGACCTCATGGATACTTACCGTTTAGATGTCAAGAGAGGAATAAGACAATTAAAATTAAAACTCTTAAATTACGAAGCTATACTCCAGAAGTTAGCAGAGATGAGAAGACTTTACCAGAGCTACTTACATGTAAGGGACTTACCTTCAAGCAGTCCGACAAAGATGAATTTTCTGACATTGTCCCAATTTGTCCGAAAGTCAGCTCAGATGTTTTGAACTGCTCCCAACATATCCAGAATATGAACGTTTGCCTGAACTCTTCCGCAATCTCAAAAAACGTTTTTGGTTCTCATGTTCGAAACTTTTATCGGAAGAGACAACAAACGTTCAAAGAAGAAAACAAGATATTATTTTAAACTTGTTGTATGACATAACTGTCATAACAAGCTTTTTGAAGTAAAACCGCCATTCTCAAACCACTTCATTTTTTCGATGTCCGAACAAGCACCGAAGCCGAACACAATAGCAGATGTCCTTTCAAGGTTGCCAGACAAGCGCCCAGTTCAAATTCAAATTGCCCAATTGAAAGCTCATCTGACAAACACCATTAAGACTCTCCAAAGTAGTCTTATGACAGAGATGACCAATCTCAAAGCCGATGTCCTCATGAACCAAGCTTCCAATGAGAAATGCCTGAAACGATTTTCACGGAAACCTTGCGCAATTACGAGAGAGAGAGACCGAGACCTTGCCAGACTCATCTACCGTTTCTCTTCGAAGAGATAGACGCCATCTGGAAGGTACTCGGAAAGGACAGAACATGCAACACCGTACTTCGTGAGTACCAAATTGAAGAAGGAATTGTCGAGGAAGAAGAGGAAGAAGAGAAACACGAAGAAGTTCCTGAAGCCGCTACATGGGCAACCCTTGTTGCCGATGACGGTTACGAAATTTCCCAACCCTACCCATACCAAATCCGCAACAAGGAGACAGGCAAGGTTCTTACCCCAGTCCTCAACAACTTGGGACACTTGAACCTTAACCTTCGCAATCGTGGTTCAATCTCCATGGGCAAGCTTGTCGCAATTCAATGGGTTCCAAATCCAGGCAAGAAGACGAAGGTCAGACACATTGACGGTGACAAGCTCAACAACCGTAAGGAGAACCTCGAGTGGTTCTAAGAGTAAAAAAAAAATTATTTTAGGGGGAAACCCCAAGTAAATTTAAGTGTTTAGTTGGATAAGTAGGCACTATTAATGGTAATTTGGAAAATTAGCTCCCGACCTTTGAATTGGGCTCTTTCGTTATCCCAGTTGCGTAGGAGGTCGTCCCAGAGGAGTTGGTAGAATTGCCAATTCAAGGACGATTTGTCCTCCCAGGCATTGAGGATGTACTGCTCGTAGAGTCTCATGACCTCTGCCTTGCACCAGACACCCTCTCCCTTGGAACATAAGGCTTCTTCGAAGTGCTCGAATGCGATTGGCTGCTTGACCATCCGAAATGACACTTTTTGTCCGTTTGGTCAATGTTCGTGTCTCGTGCCATAGTCGACGAAAATACAGACAAACAGGTTATATATGAGTTTGAGACACAAGAATGTGTAACTCGACCTGTCCGATTCAAAGACTCGAGGGCGACCATGAAATTAAACGGAAATTAGCTAGGAAGGAATATAAAATGGACTGGTTGCCACCACCTCCACCAACCTTTTACCTGTTCCTCAAGTAAATAAGCCTTTCCCGTTCCCAAGAATTCCCACATTTTAATTCAAATTCGAATAAAAATTTTTTATTTCATGCAATGTTTAACTATTTCACCATCTTCTTTAACACCCCAGTACTTACGCTTGGAGAGGACATGAACTTCGGAAAATACCTTATCTAGCTTAAAACAGCCCATCTTTTCACCGACTAAACCCATTTCAATGAGTTTGTTGTATCCTTCTTCGTTCGTCATGAGTGCGTCAATGTTCTCATAGTAAACCTTGACTTTGGATTTGACTTCGGAGAAGAATTTGTTGTAGTTGTCAAGGACTGCTTTTGCGAACTGAGGGTAAGACCAATGTTCGACAATAGGTTTTAATGTGGTTACTAAGCCACTTTGACCTTGAGTGAATTCGTACTTCAAAACAAAAGGAGAAAACCTTTCAACAAAGTTGTCGACCTTCTCATAATGTTTACTCTTCATCTCTTGAGGTTTCTTAATGGAATATCCCCATGTCGAATTCATAAGCAATTTGAGTGTCATTGCAAGTTTGGGGTTTGAAGCTTTCCTAATATCATACAGTTGTTGTATGACTTTTCCAACTGTATAGTTCCTTCATCGGGCACCATCTTCTTGGAATTCCAGTCGGAATATATTGGACAAACCTCATGTATGCAGCGTTAAGGTCGACATAGTATATCTTTTCATCTGAGTCGAACTTGTCGCAACCAATTGGTCCAGTTTGTGGAAATTCAAGTGAGTCTCTTATCTTCTGAGAAACTTCTCCTCCTTATCTCATAAACATCGTCGAAGCAACCTGTTTCATATAAAACCTTCTGACCTAACTCAGATGCTTTCCAATACAATTTGACGTCAATTGGATGTCTCAATGGAAGTTTGTTATATAGCATTTGAAGTTCTTGCAACCTCATTGGAAGTTCTTCTGGTTCAGGTTGGTATCCGAACATACCAACCCCTTGTGGAACTGTGTACTTCTTTTGTACTAGAACTTTGTCTGGAACAACTTTTGGTCTTGCTAACAATGAAAAGTTTGTTTCGTCTTTTGG